GAAGAACAGTACAAAACTGTAAAATACACTGTAAAATACTTTTATATTACAATTTCTTTTTTACAGTGCAGCTAGTGAAATAGTAAAGTCAATTTAGCCCAGATACAGGTTTCCAAGATAACAGTAGTTAGCCAGTTATTTCATGCTACTGTAGCAACAAATGTGTTTAATTGAAGGTCACATGTACTTACAAACTCTCTCTGGCTACCTAGTTAGCATGACAAATAACTGTTGTGACTGCTGTGCTGATGTGTGCACAAGCACAAAAGCCTTAGCTGAGAAGTTAGGCAGGAACAGGCAATTCTGCATCTTATTGCACTGATATTAGCCATGAGTTATTATTACAATTTATAAAACTTGTTAAATACTTTGTCAATTATTCCAACTTGATGCTAGCAAGAAGCTACCACCACCCGACCTTCTCAACTTGTGAGCTAAACTGGTGCTCTCCAGTCTATATTTTTAATACTATTTTATTTGTAAGGCTCTTCAAACTATCATCTTATATACATGCCTGTTATATGCCAAAATATCATACCACATCCTATTAATGAGGGAGTCATGAACCTGTAATTATGATAGTCACACATACTCTAAGGAGTATTTAAGTGGAGATTTTATAGTTCCAGTCATTTTCCCCCTCACCCCCTCCTCCCTTCGTCCTTTCCTCACTTGTTACTTTGTTCCCCCCGAACAGCTTGACATTAATTCCCAGAGATATCTCCATCACAAACTTGCTGAAGTGATGGTGTCAGCCTTTAAATGCTGACGTGACTCGATGCGATTGTCTTTTTGCAAGTTCCTGACACGCGGGCAGAACATGCATGAATGCACACCAAGGAGTCTCTCTTATAATTGAGATGAAACAAATATGAACTCTTAATAAAACAAGCTCTGTTGCCTCCTGCAGAAAAGTCATTCTCTTCACTTGTGGTAACAGCAGCTTTGCACTGCTTTTTGAGCTGCATTTCCAAACCGTCCATTCTAATATTTTCACACTCTTGATTCCATGTTGACAGACAAATTTTCCTCCTTCCCCTTCATGTTAACATCATGGTATACAGTCGGTGGTCACTTTCTAAGTCGCATCTTGCTGGTACTAGGCTGAACTCCCTACATTAATTCCTCTGAAAACGTTTAACATAGAAGCCATTTAAGTACAGAGAACTCATTGCCATGTTCGAGAAAGCAGTTGGAGATGATCTGACTTTGTGACATTATCCTGCTGGAAGCAGCGATCAGAAGAAGGGTGCACTGTGGTCATAAAGAGATAGACATGGTCAGCGTCAGCCACAATTCTCAGTTCGGCTGTGGTGTTTTAATGATGCTCAGCCAGTACTATAGGGGCCCAAAGTGTGCCATTACACCACCAACAGTCTGAACTATTAATGCATGGCAGGATGGATTTATGCTTTAAGCTTTCTTTATGCCAAATTCTGACTCTACCATCTGAATGTCAAAGCAGAAGTGACGACTGAGACCAGGCAACATTTTTCCAGTCTTCTATTTTGTTGACACGTGATGTTCAGAGATGTTCTGCTGCATAAATATAACGACTGGTTTTTTGAGTTCTTGTTTCCTATCAGTTCAAAGCAGTCTGGCTATTTTCCATTTTCACCTGGAGAACTGCTGCTCTCTTCTCTGACCATAGTCATGGTTATATAGATCAGTGCTTTCTGAGTTCTTTCAGCATATTTTGGTGCTTTTAAAATTATCAGTAGCATCTTAAAGCATCAAAGCTCGGAGATTCTGAGCTTTAAAGTTGATCAGTTTGAGCAGAAGCCAAGTTAGTTTCTCCTGATTTCACTGGTGATGAAATTTAGGGAATTGAGACAAAAAAAATAGCATGATGTGGGGTTACTGAGAAAAACAAACTCATAGCTCTTTAATTCTATCTGATGATATTTTATTGGACCATAGTATTACTGAACACACCTTAAACTTTAAATCAGCAGTAACCTCCTCAGCATCATCTCTTGGCCTTGTTTTCAGTGTGGAAAGCCAAATTGGCTCAGGCAAGAGGAAAGTCTGCCAGGGAGATTTTTTTCTTGTTCTCATGAGGTTGAAAAAAAAAATCACATATGTTTTATTTATTTATATTTTTCTGTTTTGTGTTTGTTCCGTGTCACCTTGTTCAACAATTCACAAACTGTGGTTAGAAATAGTTTGACAAAACAATCTTAACTCAGGAAAGATTTTTAATAAATGACATTTCTTAGTTTTCCTTTTTTCTTCACTTTGGTTCTTATAGAAGACTTAGCGCACTGTACCTGGAGTGTATTTTTTAGCCAACAAACAAATAAACACACAATGAAGGTTTTTCTGAAGTTTTGCTTTTGCATGTCATCAGTCTGAAAGTGAAATGCAGTGTGCAGTATTTCTGGATTGGCAGTTCTAGTCAAATAAATGGCTCTAGCCCAGTATTTGATTCCTATTGTCTCTGTCTCCTGGCTTTTAGCAAGGTCTTGGTTTGAGGTGAAACTCATTTGTGGCAATTGAAAAGTAGTGCACAGGGGAGAATAAAGAATCACTGCTTATATATGGGATGTAGCAGGTTGACCTGGCACGGCATGGCTCAGCATGGCACAGTATGGCAGGCTCCAATGAGGCTTCACCCTCCCAAGGCTCCATCCCGCCTGAGCTCAACACAATCAGGCCTCCACAGCGAGACCGACTGCAGGTTACCATGACAACCCGGAGGCACTGCCTGCATGGGACAAAGGCTGGCAGGTCCTGTGTGTGTGTGTGTGTGTGTATGTGTGTGTGTGTGTGTGTGTATGTGTGTGTGTGTATGTGTGTGTGTGTGATTGAGAGACAGAGTGAGTGATGTGTGGCAGAGCAGGCGCGGCCCTCCTGGGGCCCTCATTCGTTTGTCTCTCGCTGAGACCACAGGAGCCCTGATGCTGCAGAGATGGAGGTGGTGGCGGTGGATGGGGTGGGAGAAGAGGAGGGGCGATGGGAGGGGGCAAGCCAGCGAAAAGCAACTGATGTTGAGAGACAATGATGAAAAGATGCAAAGAAAGGTGTAGTGTAAGAGAAAAGAATAAGAAATCAAAAGGACGGCAGTACAAACGGATTTGGTGGATTGGATTGTTCTGCGCCCAGTCACTCGTTCACTCATTCATCAATCATGTGCGAAGCTTCGTCGTACAAAACACGGGTCTTGACAAAAGTTGATTTTAAAAAATGGACTTCACCACTACACTCTGGCAAATTAATTGCACCAATTAGCGGAGCACTCAAAATTCAAAATTTTAATAACCTGTCTACCACACAGCAAGTTGCAATGACTTGAAACAGCACTGCTTTACAGAATGTAATAAAATAAAAAGTGCACTTATCCAGTGCACCAGGCATTAAAAATGAGGAAGCGATCTCTTTAAGCATATTGGGCTTGATCTTGTCTCAGTTCCTGACGCACATCTGCTCTCTGCCTTGTATTCATTGAATTTTCCTCTACATTTTGGAATTTGATATTTTCATATAAACACCATTAAGTGGACTTTCACTTGTTAACCTCAGAGGGTCAGAGTAAAATGTGTTCTGTCTATGCAGCTCCGGCATATAGTCTGTGCCCACCACTCTGTATAAGTGAGCTCAGAGACAGGAACTATGTTAACTTTGGAGATGACTCAGTTGATGTCAGTCTGCTTCTTAGAAATGAGTCATCACATGAGTTTGTGTTCTGAACATACAGCTTGTAGAGACAAGGAGAAACATCACCTTTGCCTTCTCAGACCTTCACTGAAGTATGGAAAATAAGAAGTGTTAAGAATTACAGGATACAGTCATTGTAATAAGAAAGTGCAACCTCTTTTATTTAGGACACGGCAAAAAACAATCTGGTTCTTGGTAGGTTCTATAACAACGTTGACATGTTACACCATGTGATAATTTAACAATAATGGACAACCAGTGTGTAAGTTAACAATTATTTAGTTACATCCAGGTGCTGCCTAATCAAATGCACTGATTAACTATGTGATCATCTCTGTAAAAGCAGATGTTTTGGCAGTTTGCTGGTGTGAAACATTCAGGTGTGTGTTCACACAATGCCAAGGAGCAGAACTGAAAACAATGATCCCACTCACAGCAGCACATCTACAACTGAATGGTTGGGGGAGAAGAAACAAGGTGTTGCAATGGCCCAGTCAAAGTCCAGAGCTCAACCTGATTGAAATGTTGTGGCAGGACCTTAAGAGAGCTTTGTAGAAAAACAAATGCCTGCAAAGCCTTTTGTTAAATAAATAAATGAGATAAATGAAAATAAATGAGAAGATGTGCATCACCACAGATAAACATTGTGTTTACATATGTAAATCCTTAGTATTGACAGAGGGCGCACGTTCTTTTTGACATGACTGTAAGTACCATGATATTGACTGACTGAGAAATTGAGGTCTGTGCTGATCTAATATAAGAAATACACTTTTAACCAGAAAAATTACTTGCAAAACTAAATCCATCATATTTTTTCTGTTTTCTTTTCCAGGTTTAGATCACACAAACAAGGACCTAAAAAAAAACTTTGTGAGTAAACTCAAAATCAATGTGTCTTAAATGAATTTGAGCATTATCTTAGAGGCTTTTCTCTCAGCTAGCGTTGCTTCTCTGTTCGTTAAAAGATGAGACAATAAAAGTTTCATATCGTTAGAAAGCTGCGAGGCTGGTGTTACACTGGCTGGCCATAAAGCATATGTGAAGTGGCAGCGTTGTTTGCTCCTGCCTTGTCATTTATAATCCTATAGGCAGTTTGAAGCGTGCAGGCCAACTTGTACTTTGTCACAGCAGATTGTCTGGCATGGATAAGCCTGGCTGCAGAGAGAGAGAGGGAGATACATAATTGCTCTCTTGTACAGTCTGCTGCCAAGACATCCTCCTCCCGTTATGCCTATATACACTGGCAAACAAGTCATTCAAACATGTTCACTTTTATGACACACACACATAAACCACACCGACACGCAGCAGCATCTCCTCAGTGACAGTGATTGCCGTCAGTCAGAAGAAAAATGTTGACAGTCTAATTCAAGTGCCACTATCGAGAGTTTTTTATGGGATTGCTTCATTTCCTGTCATGTCATCCTGATGTTTTGTGTTGAGGGTTATGCTGTCGTACACTACTCCACATTTGTTTTCTGTCTCGCTTTTCCAGGAGGCCCGTGCCAGTTTTGACCTGCGTGCATCACACGGTCTGTCTCACGATCCCATGCCTGTCAGAAATGAGGAGAATAGGTAATGACTCCTGTCCTTTTACTCTTTCCTCTAGATATCCAATCCCTATATTTCTCCCTTCCAAAACCAGGAAACTGATCAAACGTCGTGTATAGTGGCCCTAACGTGAGACGCAAACATTCAAGCTAAGCAACCGAGCTAATTCTTGGACCTAAAACTAGCTTAACTGGCTGCAACAAGCGACAGCTGTCCTCTCACAGAGAAAGAATCGGTGGACGTTGGTTAAAATGTGAGAATCTTGAGTTTGCCTGTCTGAAATCAGAGATCTATCATGTTACACTGGAAGTCTGCTGCTGTCATTTCATGAAAAAGCTTAACTGATTAACTGTAGCTCAAGACATGATATCAAGGTCAATTTCTCTTTTTGCTAATTAAAGATTTCAAAACTAAATCGTTGCACGTGTCTGGTGTCAACCTATAACATATTACCTGTTTTTTTCATGCTTTGATTATTGGAGTTGAGACTTCCAGTATCTTAGTGTTCTTTTCTGACAATGTGAGCCAATCATATTGAGGAGATGCCATAATTACTGCGTGTGCTCAGGTTAAAACACCCCCCAAAAAAGAAAACACTCATCTCAGCTTATTTAGTCTCTGTATGTGGCTAACATCTTATTCCCCCTCTGTCTCAGTCACGGTACCCATTGTGCAGGGGAAGTTGCCATGGAGGCCAACAACTCCTACTGTGGTGTGGGCATCGCCTTCAATGCCAGGATTGGAGGTGAGGTAAACAATACAGCCTTAAAAAGACCGTAGGAGGCAGTGCATTGTGGGTGTGCTGCACTGGCCAAAACGAGGACATGGCATAAGAAGCAGTTTTTAAAACACTTGTTATACTACATTGGTGCTATATTATTATTAATAATAATAATATTATTCATTTAGTTGATGAAAAATGCATGCTTTGTGACTTTAGGACAGCTGTGCAGCTCTATTGGTAAAGACAGAAGAAAGGGTTTTTTAGTAGTGCTCAGTATACCTTTGGGGATTGACAGTAGGGCCAACACCTTATCTAGCAGAAATCTATTCATTTCTGACCAATTATAAACCCCTAGTTTTTACAAAAAAAGAGGAAAGGAAATAATTTTAGCACAATGCTGTGATTTTTCGTTGCCTGTGGTTAAAACCTCTTCGGAGGAAAAACCCTGCATGCATAATACACCTGCTCTAACTTTACAAGGTCTCACTTACTTTATTATAAAATGATAAATAATTCAAACTCACCTTTACTGGCAGAAATTCGAAAGTAACAAATATTCCAAAAACCAAAATACCACTCCCACATCCACATGCTGAATTATTTTTGAGAGAAAAGAAAAATGTGTTTTTCTGTCGTTTTACTCAGCATCATTTCCAGATGCAAATGGAAATGATGCTGAGTAAAACGGTTGATTTTATGTTTGGTTTAGGGGAAAATTAAAATGTCGAGCTATAAGCAGAAACACTGTAAAATGTGGCAGAAAAATCACAGGAAATCGTGCCAAATGTTCACAGTGAAGTTTTCCTTGTCGGTATAAATTTTCAACGCCTGTGTATATATTTACAGTGAACATGGCTTTAGGTTTATGCGAATACAGGTCACTACATATTGACTGGCTGCTATTCAGGCATGCTGCCCCTATTTAACAGCTCATTTTTTAGTGTAATGGCTTTTTTAGTGGTGGTAGTAACATCGGAAAAGGATGAATGAACTGAATACATAAGATCGCCCATTTTCCCATTGTGAAATCAAAGATTTTTACAGGGTTTACCAAGAGTGCTGTAACCCACAAGTTAATGAGGAGTACATAATGTGTTTGAATAAGAACACTTCCTGCAGCTCTCAGATCCTAAATGACTCAAACTGAGTTTAATGCAGCGATGGCATCAGCACGAAATAGAGAAAATGAGAAGAGGAATCCCTCAGTTGAACTCTGGCATTTGAACTCTGCTCTGTGATCTTTAATCTCTGACCCGTCCTCGTTTGTCACAGGCAGATGAGCGTCTCATGCAAAAAAGAGAGCAAAAGAAAAACAGAGCACGAATTTCTTCCCACAGTTAGATTTAATTTTGCTTTGTTGGTTCCATTTGATTCTGACTCATAAACAGTCTGTATGGCACACAGGAGACGAAGGGGCAAGACCTGCATGAAAGATGCATGTTTTGACTTGAGCTGTCACACAGCTGACTAAGTGAAGTTCTTTGCCTCTGTTTGTAGTGTTTGTATTGACGATTTGTGTTCTTGTTTTTCATCACAGTCACCACACAAACTTTTCAAAACCTTAGAAAATGTGCATTATTCCATCTGAAAACATGTATTTTTCATGTAAACTGACTGTACATGCAATAATAGATGCTAAGCTGAATACATGTGGTTCTTGGCTATGCCTCTCCAACAACCTAATTCTGAAAAGTTGCTTCGTCAGATATCCCAGCTCTTGAGCATATTAACATCTCAGCACAGAAACAGACTCTTTTTAAATGTAAAAAAACAACTCTTTAATGCTAGCCAGGTCTAATAAATAAGAAAGAGACTTTTTTTTTTCTGTAAACCTTCCTTTACTCCACTGTCTCTAGTCACTGCCATCTAATGACAGCAGTCTTTTGTTCCATCCACAGTCTCTAATTGGAGTGATGTTGTCAAGCTACAATTACAAAGGACACATCCACTGTTTAGAATTTATGCAACAAACAGCAGAAACCTAAATGCACATCTGACTTGTGGTTTGGATTAATTACTGTATAGTTTCTACTGCAAATCAAAAAGAAAAAATCACACATTTAATGCAATTAAAATTTTTCTCTATCACATTCTTTCATGATGTCTGACCCTGTCACTTCAACTGGCCGTTTTAGGGATTTGAGTTCTCCAATTTTAATTATATCTCAGGTAGACAGTAGCTGTGATGACCAACACGATAGTAGAGAGATTATTTGAAGTATTATTTCAAACATGACATTTATTTTCAAATCCCCATCCATCCATCCATTAATCTTCTTAACCCATTATCAAATTGTTGAATAAAATTTATACTTATTTTTGAAAGCTGCCATTCTCAGTAAAAAAAAAAAGAAGATTAAATATGGTTTTTTTTCACACAAATATAGATTAGCTGGTGAGCATTTACTTGCTAAAAGTGAGACATGCAGGAACTAAAAAGAGGGTGAATACTGGATTTAGATTCAAGATGTATATAAATATTAATGTGAGTCTTTATCTGTTGGATGTGGGAGGGACCACATCAGCTTAAAATGTTATGATACACTATTTAAATGTTAGTTAAAAAATATATCAGTGATTGCAGTCCTAAATGAGACCCACCCCCACATAAATGTACTCCAGTTTTGCGATCAGAAATCTTAAAACAGTTGATAACCTGTGCAGTGCTGACACTCCACACTTTCCAGTAGCAGATTTACCGAATGTTGGGTAAAGTGAAGTAATCCATAGTTTCACCCTGTAGGTTGTATATACTGGGATGTTTTTGGCTGCTTTTCTCAGCTTTGATAGCATGCTAACTTGGGGTGACACCCCCCAGGGTCCCTCGGGGCAAATGGAAGAAAAATCTCACTCTCACTGTAGCTTCTCTGTCCACTGACATTACATTATAGCAGTTCATGGCTGCTGCAGACACAGTTGCACTGCAAGTACTGAGCTTCACAAACTCTTATTTCACAGTTAAACTGATGAAGTAACTTCTTTTAAGACATATGTTAATCATTTTATTCAGTTTAGAATGGTGGTCAGAAAGTATCAATCAGTAAATGCAGAAGAATGTAAATATAGCGACAGTGAGGGGATTAGACATAGCTATAGTTTGTGTTGTTTTCTATTTCCTTTTTTTTTTCTTTCATTTTGCACAAGCCTTCCTCCAAACTCTGATCTCTGTGACCTTTTCGATGTGACCAGGTATCCGCCTGTTGGATGGCTCTGTGACGGATGCCATGGAGGCCACAGCTCTGACCTTCAACATCCACTTCATCGACATCTACGTCTGCAGTTGGGGCCCGAGGGACGACGGGGCCGAGATGGACGGGCCGCAGAGCCTGACAGAGCAAGCCCTCCGGCTAGGAGCTCACAAGGCACAGCTTTCATCTCTAAGTTCACACTGCTGTCTGTCAGATGTAAAGCCGACAGTCACACTGTCAGTGGAGCTGGGATTGGAAGGACAAAATGTCGAGTGTTCAGATTTCCTAGCCAGATTTAAATCCTCATTTCCTTATTTATTTATATCGTACGGAGAGTACGTTCATGACACGTACTGTAACAAAGTCAAGCTGCTACTTTTGCCACATAGTCAGACTGCTCCAAAACAGACTAAAAGTTTCTATTTGTTTTGTTTTTTAGATGAATATTGCAGGAAACTCTATTGATGGCTAATGCCAGGCTGTGTGTGTGTGTGTGTTGTGATCCAGGCCTCTCATTTATTTGGTATTCACTTCCCCTACATGTGACTATTTTGGTTTGTTCATATAGACAGTGAGAGCATGACCTCCCACACAAAAAATACACTGATCAGCCACAACATTGAAACTAATGACAGATGACTAGAATAACACTAGTCTTCTAGAGACCGTGTTCTTCTGGGATATTTTGGATCCTGGCATTCACAGGGACATAATTTAAACTTAAAGAAAGACGGTTATAGCGATCATGGCGTTGCCCGCTGGTTTGTAAAATCCAGTTTTGAAGCCTTCACATGAGCATTTTCACAGTCACCATGTTGGTATTTTGAAACCAGATGTGACAAGCACGGTGACTGTGAAGCTGCACTCTCATTGGCTAATGACTTGTGACTGACATGTCATATCCTGGACAATTCTCCTTTCTAATATGTAGATAACCCAAATTTAGGAGCCCATAACCCATAAACTAATCAGGAAAGTGTTTATAGAGATCAGGACAGAGAGTTGGTTTTCCATAGATTTCCATGAGACCAAACCACAGGTTTTGACCCCTGGTGGCAATGAATAATAATGCAGCGTTAAGATACTTGCCCACTGGCTTCATGTCTTTTTATAGTGCTAGAGGCTACATCTTCTCTTGTCTGTCAAACTTCTTCTTGGGTACTTGTAGATTGCACTGCTGTTATTAGATTCTGTGTTTCCTGTTCACGTCTTCCATGTGCTCTGGTTTTCTCTGTTTGGCTAATTCTTTACCGCTCTGGAAAAGTAGAAAACTGCTTTTAATTATATTTCCTTTGAATGAAATTGAAAATCCAAAGTGCCTGTCACCAAGGCAACAACGTCAATGTCCAGTATCACCAATTCATAATTTAGCTGAAATGTTATTCTCTTCAGCAGTAAGTCTAATTTCTAAGCCAGTAAGGGATTTATTTACACAAGTCTTAGTTTTAAGCTTCAATAAACAGCACAAGAAATGTTTATACAGCTGCTGCACTACAGTTTTTTTGGTGCCATAAACCAAGATCGAAGAATAGAATTTAAGCACAACTTCATTCTTGACTCTGGAAACACAGTTCTATGATAAAATGTTCAAAACACAGTTTGCTTACTGATTTTCAAGCATATGTGAGTAACTTTAATCCTGGTTCCTCAGGTTTAGGTGTAATTTTTTGGGTTCTTAAAAAGGATTATCATCTTCTGAAGACAATATTGCAGTAAAAGTGTGCTCTTTTAGCAAACTAAGGGTTAAGGATGATAATGGTAACTTCCTGGTTTGAATCTGGATGAGGCCTTTTGTTTCAAATGTTTCCCCTTTTCCACAAGCTCTTTCTAAAAAAAGAACGGCTTAATATGCCCCCTAAATTACTAGCTGCCCCTCAGTTTCAGCATTTTTTTCACAAGTTAATGAGCCTGATTTTCAGTGGTGTACTGGCTTTCAAGATCAAGTGGACACCACAGAAAAGATATTTCTTAATTTATTCTTCACTGCTTCAGCTTTGAGTTGTTTTGGTCTTAGTGATGCCCTGTGAGAGCTGCTCCTTACACTGTCCTTTGTGAAGGTTCATGTGCTGATGCCTTTGAGGAAAAAATAGTATTTGAGGAAAAAATTTAGTCACCTCATGAGGCATTAAAAATGTTGCATTAAAAATACCTAAATTTAGCACAGGATGCGACAACACCAAAAAGAAGACCATGTGGGTTGGACCATGGACAGTTGGGCAGTAAGCAGCACATAATCTCATTATAATGTGATGGTATTTTCATTACACTGGGTTCTGCTAAGGCCTTTAAACACCAGACATGTAAAGTTTTGTGAGAATATTTTGACTACGTGAGTTTGCTGAATGAATCTGCGGCATTCATTTTTTCAGCCGGAAAAAGTGCACTCATAGCTCAAATTTTGCACCAGTACTGAATATAAAAATGGTAAAATAATATTGTTTTAACTTAGACACACAGCAGGACACTGCTCTGGGTCATGGCTCTCTGGAATGATTTCTCTGACTCCTCAGATGTGGTCCCAACTCTGGGAACAAGAGCTCAAACTGTCCCAGTTGACATCCTGAAATATGTACGTATGCGATCGGGATACAGCTTCATATTCTGGATCAAACCATGAAATTCTCCCTGCTGCTGCCTTCTCTTGAGAACTGTAAGAATCTTGGTTTTAGCCTTTTCTTGTTGGAAAACATCGAGACTGAAATTTTTTTTGCAGTGCATTTTTTGAGAACAACTTTTCACAAAAAGCCAAGCTAGCATAAGCCAGCAATGGACTCCTATGACTTTTGTAGATTGTTGTAGCAATTTATCACATCTGGCTAGTTTCATCATCAGAGTGTGTTGTGAATGCAGTACTCCCTTTACCATGTATATAAAAAAGTGCAAGAAAGACTAGTCTGAATTCAGGGTACATGGGTTTTTATACATACAAAATGATAATACATTTTACAGGAACAAACTGTCCATGTTACATTATGATAGGAAAAATAAAAACAGTACTACTACCACATAGCTGGAGTAACGGTATGTTATTGTAAAGCTTGCATTGTGCTTTAGCTTTCAGTGCTAGAAATTAAAGGAAAGTTTGTTGCAGTAATTCATGCAAATTACTTTTTAAAAAAAAAAACCTATCAAAATAGCTACAAAGCAAACAGCTTAAAAGATATTTTATGAAAGACTTACATATGTTGTACACATAAAACAATAACAGCTTTTCCAATAAAACATTTGTTGACAACGTTTGTTTTAGATATAAATACAGTTTTTTGTTAGTATGTGAGAGCTTTCTTTTTTTCATTCTCTTTGACATCCCACTGTTTGTTTTCTCAGGGCCGAGGTGGGAAGGGCAGCATCTACGTGTGGGCGGCAGGTAATGGTGGAATGCAGCATGACCACTGCGGTGCAGATGGATTTGTTAACTCCATCTACAACATTGCCATCGGCGCCGTCACTCAAACTGGGAAGCCCGCCTTCTTTGGAGAGCCCTGCCCTGGAGTGATGGCCGTCACTCTGACAGGGACCAGCGTGGGAAGCTCATTACCTTTGGTTAGTGTGTGTGTACCTCCCAACACATCTAACAACAGTATTTATCATTAATGAGTGTATATACAGTATGTGTATGTGTGCACATCAGTGCCAGCAGCCCTGATCTTTGGCTCTTGTGAGCTGTAAGAAGCCTGTTAAAGAGCAGCCACTGGTGTGGTATTTATAGAGACTTGCCAAATGACCTAGGTGACTGCTGGGCACACACATGCAGACACGCAGGAGCCAACGAGTGTTAATTGGAGGTAAAGCGTGGCTGTAGTGGCTGAGAAAGAGAGAGGAAGAAGCAGAGGTGTTGATGGCGGAGGTAACACTGAAAAGCCAGGAACAAATCCAGCGCCAGCTCTAGGGCTACAGAAACAGAAAGGCCAATTTTATCAGTGTGATATCACCCTCGTCTGCAGGGAGGTCTGCCCTTTACCACCTCACATTAGAAGGTGGTTAGACCAGAATGCAGTTGTTTTGTTACTGTTAAATTGTGTTGACGTGTTCTAATGACAGAAGAACCGCTGTTGACACAGTAGGTGCTATAGTGTGGAACCAGTAATGGCTTAATTAGCTGCAAACAACTCACATGCACCTCCCCTTTACAGCATATATACTGGTACATGTAATATAATATATCATGTAAAATTAGTTCCTTTGTGATTCCTCCAGGTGACTGTGACCAACATTGGTGATGGATGTGTCACACACTTTCCAGGAACATCCAGTGCTGCTCCGATTGCTGCAGCGATTCTGGCTCTTGCCTTAGAAGTAAAGTGAGTTTTTTTTCTTCCTACTTATTCTACAGTCAAATAATGATATAAAATTGAATTTCGTATTGTGTTCATTTATGTAGGATTAATTTTGTGCTGCCTATATAGTGAATCCTAATAACACCTGCAATCATCAGATCTTTCATTTAGCACCCCCTGCAGGTCACATGTTCACTGCTGATTTGTTCATCGATAGCTCAGGTTAGCAACAGGCAGACCACGGTCCAGACCCAGATGCTCTTATTTACGAATCTAGACATATTACTACATTTTGACAAATTTTTTTATAATTATTTACGGTATGGTTATTTTAATCTGTGCAAGGGTTAAGGTATTTACACAGGAAATACACCGACCAATCGTGTACATTCTAACTTATCTCACGTGATGCTACTCAGCCAATGAAATCATTCATTCAGAGCATGTGTGAAAACAGAAAACTCCAAGATGCAGAAGTCAGATGAAGTAAGTCAGGAAAACAGATAGGGAGCAAGAAGAGGTTTGTCTGGAAACTAATTGTTCAAAAACGATGTTATTTATTTTTGCTTGTAAACATTATTTTACTCAAAATAGGGAAAGAACATTTTATTATTACTTTAATATTTTATTAATAGCAGCACACATTGACATGTTGTTGAATCCTACTTTATTTATTTTACTTTAAAACCAGTTAAAACCCTGGAAACAGACATTAAACTGTTAGACTACTTTCAAATATATTACACTAAATTATCATGGAAATGCATGATATTTCGGACCTGTGTTTGAGGACATTTTCTCTGACTAGGCCTCTTTAAATTTTAACTGAATGCTGATTTACAGAGGCCCAGGCCCAGTCAGTATGTCCTGATGACGTTGTGATCCATTTACCCAACATCTGAATTTGTTCAATATCGGTAAAGGCATTGCTAACAACCTCTTTTAAAGTCCACTGCCAATTAGCAAATGCTAACATGCTAACACTAGAATTTTTTGCTTGTGTAAACATTGCCCTTGCAGATATGCTAGCTGGCTGATGTTAGCATGTGGCAGAAGCACTGCTTTACCATTTGGAAATCTCACAAAGCCAATATTGTTGTCTTGACACTTGCTATATCATAGACAGTCACATCTGTATTTGTGCGTCACAAACATTGTGAACACACATTGTGAAACTTTATGGTATTTATGTTTGAAAATAGGCTGGTCCATCTCACAACTGCTAAGTAATGGAGTAAAAATTGTTGTTGGTGTGACCGCCAGATGGTGTCAAGACCATATGCATAATATTCTAAAATAAAAACAAAGGATTAGAGCAGGGCGATATGACCAAAAATATTTATCATGATATACATTTGAAAATTTGCGATAATGATATAACTGACAATATAATTGACACTAGACAAAATACTTTGCAACTCCACAACTTTATTAGTGCAACCCCCCACCCCCCCCAAAAAAACCATCAATGTATTTTCACTTCAACAAGCAGCTGTTTTTTATGTGCATTGAAGTTACATAAAAATTTAACAGTGCAAATGCAAATTCCTTGCTGACAGTTTAACCAAATGGCATTTTCAGTGGAAATTGGCCGACATATCCTCAACATAACTATGTATAATATCCACAAAACTTAAAAAGAGGTTATACACACACAATACGGTAATACTATGTTGAAGCACAGTACATATCACTCCGCAAAGCTCCTGCCTACGATAGCCGTAATGCTCCGGCAATCCATCAAGCGGTGCGGCTTCGTAGCTTAGCAAAGTCGTACTAAAACATTTGACAGATTTTCGAGCGCCGTGTACCACATAAAATCGTTTCGAGGTCAGTAAACACAACCAGAATTCATACATAAGGCACACAGGATTATAAGGGGCACTGTCGATTTTCAGAAAAATCAAAGGATTGATTAAGTGTGCCGTATTTTCCTAAAAACACAAAAAACGTAATAACGACGGCCCGCTAGCATGCGCTACCAAAAATAGTGCTTTGTTGTGTATCTGACGGACGAAAGCTAAACCAGTTCCACACCACTAAAGTTGCAGCATTTTTACAAACCAATTCTGGTTCATCTGTTTCATTCAACGATCCGCTTTCGCTCTTCTCATTCTCCGCCATGCTTTTTCCGCCATGTGCGTATGAAAACAAAGCCACTGCACATGCGCGTTTTACCCATATTCTGTCGCGATATTTCATTTTCTTATTGTTGCCCAACATTATACCGGTATTACTGTGAATGGTATGATATGGCCCAGCCCTACACAGGATCATTATTGCTAAAGTTTGGTGCAGTTAGGTGAAACTTTTAGCTTTATGTCAAACAAGCAGTTTTTTTTTCTTCTTTTCATTTATTTTGTTAGTCATTATTTCTATTATAATAGAATCAGTTTTGTATAAAATATCATAAAGTTTGTGTCAAATTGCCTGTTTGCACTGTTTAAACGTTCAAAACAAAGCTGGGGTTATTTATTTATTTTATATTAATAATTTTAACAATTCACCAAGTCATTTAGTGGATGATTTTACGACTAAAAGAAACACATAAACAGATATTAACAGTGTTCTGTTTTGTTTTTCTACATTAAAATTCTACACCTCTGATCCTTTCCTACCTTTTTCCCCCCTTGCTCCCTTCCTTTTCCTCTATTTGTTATTTTGGTCCCTCCTTTGATGTAGATCATTATTTTCTCCTACGCATTTGTTTTTTTTCCTTTGTCTGAATCTGCAAATTTATCTCCTCACTCTTTTTTCTTCTTCTCACTCCTTTGTCTTGCCTGCCACTTCGTACAATTTCCCAAGCCCCCTTATTCTTCATCCCTCCTAACTCGCCAGCTGTCGGTGTGGCCTCGAGCCTGGTGTTTTGTGGTGGTATCGGGTGCGTCTACGCCTCCTTCATGTTATAGATGGTACTAGAGGCCGGCTTTACTGCTCCAGCTGTCATGCTGCAGCGTTCTCAGTCTCAGTCGCTTGGCTGTAAAATGGAGCGCGGGTCCCCTGGGCGAGACGACTCCCAGGACATTACTGTTAAAGGCTTTGTCGTGACCCGCTGCTACTGACTAAACTATATATCACCTCTCTTGCTCAGACCAACTGCATTCTGCTCACGTCTTTATGGAACTGGGTCCTCTCTCTCACTCTCTCTGTATATCTTTCTTGCTCTCTTTCTCACATTTGCTCTTTCTGTGTCTCACTCTTTCTCCCCTCAGATGCACACATCCATATATTCTACTATGCTCACTTTTGCACGTTCAAGAGTATTTTTATCGTATCTTCATTAATCAGATACAACCTGTCTAATGTATAGCATCCACAACTTCCTGTGCCTTAGTATATGCAGACAATTTGTATGTAATGTGTATTTACACTGTATTGCCATCACATCCCATTCTTCATCCATAGGATGTTGACCAACCCTTTTTAATTACTTCAACTCTCTGGGAAGGCTTTCCGCAAGGTTTCGGAGTGTGTTTATGGGAATTTTGACCACTTTCCCAGAAGCACATTTGGTCGGTCAGACACTGATGTTTCATGAGAATGCCCAAAGGCGTTTTGATGTCAGGACTCTGTGCAATCCAGTCAGTTCTTCCACACCACATTTGCTCCTCCTTGTCTTTATGGACCTTGCTTTGTACACTGGTGCGCATTCATAAGGGGCCATCCCCAAACTGTTGCCACAAAGTTGTGAGCAAGAAATATCAAAATTGTCTTGATATGCCAAAGCATTAGGAGTTCATTCCACTAAGGGGCTTAACCAAGCTCCTGAAAAACAACCCCACACCATAATCCCCCCTCCACCAAACTCCGCACTTGATACAATGCAGTCACACAAGTAATGTTTTCCTGGCAAACACCAAACCCAGAAAAGTGTGAATCCTCACTTCAGAGCCCACATCTCCACTGCCCGAGAGTCCAGTGGCGGCGTCCTTTACACCACTGCATCTGATGCTTTGCATCGCGCTTGGTGATGTTAGGCTTGGATGCAGCTGCTCAGCTATGGAAACACATTCAATGAACCTGTCTACGAACCTGTTCTTGAGCTAATCTAAAGGACACATGAAGTTTGGAGGTCTGCACCGATCGACTATGCAGAAAGACTGCAAGCTCTACACACTATGCGTCTCGGCATCCGAGCGATGCTGGCCACGTGACTGTTGATTAAAAGTGTTTAGCCTGTTGGTACACCACTGTGCTCCTGAAATATCGCAACCAGTGCTGAAGAGATTCCCATGAAATCTGGTACAGACATGCATAGTTCGTAGAGTATGAAGGAGGCTCTAACATAAGCTGGCTAACACCACTATATGTTCAAGTTAGCAAAGTATTTATTACAATGCACAGAGCTGCTCGTGTCAAGTTGCAGTCAGTCTTTATAATATGAGGCAAATCTAGCCACAGATGAAAGTCCTTGATTCAACTGTCACCTCCACTATTAACACACATACCATCAGTTTAAACCTTTTTTTTGCAGATTGGCTCATTGTGAACATATACGCAGGGTTATTGATACAAAATCTACCCATTACTGCTGCCTAATAATGATTCTATGCCCCTGTCAATCACTCTGTTATCTCCACCTATAATTGTCTTGAAACTGCACTCCTCATGATTGATTAATTGTTTTCCTGGAGTCGTGATCTTTTTTTCAAAAAAGAGATCATGACTGTCAAAAAAACAAGACTGGCAATACAGAAGATTTTCTGCTGGCATTGTGGTGATGCACTCTCTTAAGTACTGATATAAAGAAGCTTCTATGGATTGCTTTCTGTGCTTTCAGAATAGCCTTCAACTTGTTCCTGTGTCAAGGTGTCAGTGTCTATGTTGGCCTGTCTGCCTGTTTTGCCATCCGTCTCCCTCCATCCATTTTGACGGCTGTCCAATGAACCATGAGACCAAATCAATTCTTCACTCATCCTGTTTGTCAGTCTTTCTGTCTGTGTTTGTTCACTTTATCACCGTGTCTGTCACTTTATCTCTGTTTCTCTCAGTCCATTTATCAATCTGTCTATCCATTTGCTCAC